AGAGGGTGTGACCCGGCATGTACTCCTAGACTACTCTTCGTGTATTGCTAGCGGCAATATGCCATGTGATGTTTTACTGGCGCCACATGCATGATAATATGTAGTCCGTGTCCATGCATATGCATTCTTAATGTTATATGATAAAGTGATGGTTTATGTCTTGGATGAGTGTGATGTTATTATTAATTTATCTATGTTATACTTATTTTGTTTGTGTTTGGCTATTCGGCGTATATTTCTACACTGTGAGCCAGAGTGAGATGTTTCTCACTCCCTTTTCTCGTGTTGTTCTGTTTTGACTGTTATACAGATGATTATCAGCGTGAGGCTGAGGATGTTGGTGATGAAGCTTAGGCTTCTATGTTGGGTTTTGCTCTGATAGGACATGTGACATCGGGACATAGATAGAATTAGTTTAAAGATGTTCTTATTAAATTATTTTAGAAAATTCAGTTTTATTTCTTTGTAATTTTACCGGCACGTTATTTGGATTAAGTTTATGAATGTGAACTTTTTACCCTTACGTGGCTGGAAATTTGATTTTTAATGATGAAATTTTTTATATTTTTTATAATTACTGTATATGTATGTTGGGGTAGAGGGTGTCACATACCTTATATATGATACTTATTTAGGCATTTGTATGTTTTCAATCCTAAGTCATTAGATGGATTTCTGCTACTAGTAGTGATACTAATTAGTGTAGGGACCATTGATGGATCGTTATAAAATCTATTTTGATCTTCTTCAAAAATCTTATTTTTATTTGTTTTGCTATATTAAGTAGCTTGTTTAAACACTATGTAGACTTTTTAGATATCAAAACCTTTTTTTATCATTCGTATAATTTTCATTATGAATGTTTGTCATAATTAAAATCAATTGGGGCTTGCATTCAACACCATTGCCTATTGTTGCTGTGAAAAGGAAAAGCACTACTCAAACTCCCAAGGATCTACATCCTTATTCTACACAAAAAGGGATAATTATACTTGATTTGTCTCCATCACCTCCCCATAAAAAGTAAGAAAGAGGTAGTGGGTTAGTTGCATGATTTGTTTCTCTTGAGGATGATAAGTAAACTCGTATTCATGAGTAATACCCGAACTCACCCGATTTTGACAAGGAATACCTAGTTTGATCGAGTACAAATATGAAGAATATCCAATTTATTAAATCGGGTATAGGGACAGGGATAAGTACATGTCTACCCGCTTTGTACTTGTACCCATGCTCGCTTTTAAATTTCTAAAAACTTAATTTATTTTTTAAAAAATTTACTTGACATTTATGTAATTTTTACTCTATTTTAAATTTATGTCAAATGAAACTTAACTAATGCAATTTTATAATTGCTACTCTATCTTGAAATTTTTTCTTACATTTTTCTCAAAAAAATATTCAATTACTTTTTAAGTGAGTACGAGACAGGTACGAGTATATCCAATACTGATGGAAACGAAGATGGGACCACAAATTACATATCTGTCGAGTATGGGGATGGGGACGAGTATGAGGTACGAGAACGGAGATTGAGACAATGATAGTTAAACTTGTATCTGTCCCATCCTGTTGTCATCCCTAGTTTCTTTTGTACATTCCTTGAACCCCCCCTTTATTTCTACTCATACTTTAGTAGTAACTTCTACTGTGATAACCTCTTTAGTTTTGATATGGTCACCAAAACTTTTCAAATCATTATCTACTAAATTAAATTGTGCTAATGTTGAGGTTGAAAAGGTTGTTATTCTCTAAGAAGGAAGGGAATCTCCAAAGGTTAGACTTTTCATATTAGTCTAAAAATCAAAGTGTTAGTCTGACCATAATATTTTGGCAAAAAAGGTTGAAGAACAATTTAACACTTTGATTTTTAGAAGAAAAAAAAAAGTAAAATAAGAAATTAATTAATTATAGTGTTTTTTGAAAATTAAAAGTTAATTGGATTTTTACTAGCTAATGATTAAAACATAATAAAGAAAGGGGATTTTGAAAATATAAAGGTTTAAGTTGTTGGGTTTAGTCCTTTTGGTCCAATAGTCTTATTAACCAAGAAGTTGAGTTATTAGTTAACCTAATACTCTTTCTCTTTTTGCTTTTTTTTTTTTTTTTTTTTTCCTGGAACACTATATGTATTGTTAGAACCATGTGTGGAAAAGCTTACAATTCAAGGAAAAGAAGATCACACTATCACACATTTGCCTTTATAGGAACTTTTTTTAGGTAAGAAGTGAGTGAGTTATCTTACTCATAGGTGCAAAATAATTGTGGCTAACGAGGTTGTCCTTCAACTCCATAAATCTTTATGAATTGTGTGATCTTAAAGGGGTTTTAAATACCCTGATGGTGTGTTGTTTATTTTATATGCCTTCATTGAATTATATTGATGAATGGATGGATGAGTTGTATAAATTGTCTTGTGATTTTGCTATGTCTTGTTTGACTTTCATGAGGTTCTTGATATTGGGGTTCTTGATTTGATTAATTGTAAACAATTTTAGAGGCATTTTGATTGGATGAAATGATTGTATGTTCTATGCCTTATAATATTAAAGGAATTCGCACATAATGAATATATGGTGAGGACTTATAGAGGTTCTTGAAAAAACAACGTTCACACTTTTAAGGATTGTTGTTTTGAGAGCACACACGTGCTTAGGTGAGCACGACCGTCTTGGAGTCAACAATGATCATGCTTAAGGTGAGCATGGTTGTGCTAGGTGCACCACGGTTGTGCTATAATAGCCATGATCATTCTCTTTTTCTGAAGCAAAAAAAATAGTTTATGAAGACAAACGTGTTAAAAGTAGCATGATTGTGCTTGAAAATATAACAAAATTGTGAGATTGGAAACACGAGTGTGCTAAGAGTAGTGATAAGTGTCTAATTAGTTTGATGAAATTTAAATTAGAGTAATTTTTTTACAAAAAAATACTCTTTATTAAAATAATCTCATCAGATATATTTATTCACTCAAATCTTATTACAAATATGACATTAAACTATTTTAAAAAGTTAAAAATTTATTAAATTATTTAAATAAAGAATTCAACAAAAAGAGTAAAAAAAAAAAAGAAAAGAAAAATGTTACATTATAATTAAGAAGAATAAAAATATATTTTCATTTCATTCAAATAAATAAATAAGTGTTAACAAAAACCATTAAAATGTAAAAACAAAATAATTTTAACAATATTATTAAAATTGACAAGATTAAGAAATAATAACATGCAAGAAATAGAAAGAGAAATACAAATACAAGGGAAGGGAGGGGGAGAGCGAGAGAGGGAGAGTAAGTGAGAGAGACAGAAAGGCAGAAAGAGAAATAGAAGAAAAGAAAGGAAAAGGGAGAGGAAGAGAGAGAGAGAAAGAGAGAGAGAGGGAGAGAGGAAAAGAGAGGGGGAGAGAGAGTGAGGAAGAGAAGGAGAAAGAGAAATAAAAAGAGAGAAAGAAAAATATATTTTTTTTGTTTTAAAAAAGAATATGTAGTCTTTTTACATATATAAAAATCTCCCTTTAACTCGAGAAAGTTAGATTTTCACCTCTTTTATAAAAATGTTTTTGTAGGAAAAATGTGATAAAAATGGTTCCCATTAAACTATATTCCTGGGAATTTCTTTTAAATAACTACCAAATATGAAAAACTAAAATTTTCGATTTAAGATTCTTGAGAAAGTAAAAACACTTCACATACCAAACACCCTCTTAGCTGAAAATAATAGTAGAAAAGTTTAAGCTGGAAAGTACATAAATAATTCTTTAAAAATAGCATAATCCTTTAAAAAAATAACTAATGACAAATAAGTGTCATAATTATGTTAGTTTTATGTAGTAGTGTTTGGTTAAAATTTGCATTGTTTATTGATTAAATTGAGCAATTTAACCTAGTTTTGAGTTGTGTTGGTGCAAAATACTAGGTTAAAACAAATTTAGAAAAAATCGATGAAACATTAGAATAATTAGCATTTTGAAGAAGCACAATCATGTATAAAAGACTAAACTATAGAAACACAACAAATTAAAGCATGATCGTGTAGAATTATGCACTCTTTTGCCTAAAAAGGTAACTTTCACATTTAAGAAAGAAGCATGACCATGCTAAACACATGTTGTCAAATGATGGTAGGAAGCACACCCTCAATATAGCCATGCTAAAAGGAGTTGACATAGTTGTGCTTAAACTCTATAAGTGTGCTTGGATTATAGAGTTTGGGCTTTAAATTTCTAGTTTGGATTAAATACAGGACTTTTTGGCCATGTTCAATAAACATCATGTAATAAGTGGGTTTAGGACAGGCTAACCCTATCAAGTCATGAGTTACCTGTTTCCTTATTAAATTTTGCTTAGTATTTAAGAAAAAAATTAATTATTAAAAATTAAAGATTAAATAAAATTATAATTTTTTATAATCTTTTATCTAAATGATTAAATATTATATATATGTATATAAATACTTTTTCACACCGAGTTAATATTTGTATTGAATTAATATTAAATAAAAATGTAACCATTAACTTATAAATAAAAAGATTTATAGTGAAACCTAATGCTTTAAAAATTCTTAAATATATAGATGGTAAAATATACAATTAAGCTAATATAAAAAAAAATAAAAACATAATATCTATGGAAAATGATAAGAAAAATTTATTTTTCTTATCTTCTTTTTAATCAAAATCTTTATAAGATAAGATAAAATTTAAACTATGAAATTAAGTTAACTTTGTAAATTTATCCTATTAAAGCATAAATTATAAATTAATTTATCTATATAAATTAAAATAAAATAAATTATTTACCTATAGTTTTATCTTGACCACACCCTTATAATATAGTTACATTAATTTATATTTTATATATTCAATAAATATTTTGAATAAATAAGATAGATTGTTTATAATCTTGTTCACGATCAATTACGCATGTAAACGTCATAATTATACATGTATTTGAGTAAATATCTATAAAGTTTTGAAAATAAAAAAGATATTTAGAAATACATTTATAATAGTTATATTTTTTTTATTAACATGATAGTTATATAGTTGTACTTTATTTGAATCATTATGGTTGAACGATAAAATTAAAGTCAAAACGGGAAGACTTAAATTTGATTTTTTTTTACATTCTTATAATATTTTAATGGATAAAAGAAATTAAATCATTTTAATTTAATAATGAAAATTTCTTATAAGATAAAATTTGATCTATTAAATTATGTCAATAATATAAATTGATCTTGTTATAAAATATAGATTAAAATAAGATAAAATCTATATTCATATCTTGACCAATGATCACGCCTTTATAATCTAGTTGCACAAACTTTATATATTTAACAAATATTTTGAATAAACGAGTTAAAATATTTATAGTCATTGACAACGACGCATGCAAATTCATAATTATACATATATTTTCATTAAATATTAATAAACATTAAAAAATAAAGAAATGTTTTGAAATAATAGTTATAGCCTATAGTCGTGCTCGATTTGAATAATTGTCACGCGTAAAGCGGTAACGAGAGAAGAAAAAGTTCAAAAAAGTGAAAGAAGAAAATTTTGAAAGTCCCTTTGAAAAAGGTGGGAGAGCCAGTGGAAAATCAGGGCACGGAGAATGTGGTTATTATTATTATTATCATTATTATTATATTAAAAGAAAGCATCTTGTTCAATATTCAAAATTTATGAGAATCGTTGTTTATATTTAGTCGGTTCAGTTAACGGAAGAAAACAGGAAAGTTCCTCTTTCTCTCGAACTCTCTTTCTCTTTGTATACAAACCACTGCTTCTCTCCGCATCACATTTTCTTTTCCTTTGGTCGTTGTGGAAGCATCATCACCATGAGCTACTACGATCATCAGCAACAGCCTCCGGTTGGTGTTCCTCCTCCACAAGGTATCTATTTTAATGCTTGTTATTTTAAAGCTTTCATTTTTTATTTTATGGGTATGCGATCTGATTTTGAATTATTTAACTAAACAGGGTATCCATCAAAGGACCCTTATCCTCCACCAGGGTACCCTGCACAAGGGTACCCTCCACAAGGGTACCCTCCGCAGGGCTATGCTCCGCAAGGCTATGCTCCTCAGTACGTTCAACAACAGCCTCCTCCTAGACAAGAGACTGGTTTTCTTGAAGGATGGTATGTTTCTCTTTTCTCTTTCTAGCTTTTTTTTTTTTTTTTTTTTTTAATCAGAGGATTTAATGTTGGACTGAAATTAGTTTCAGTTTTTAGCCAGGTTAGTTGGACTGAAATCAATTTAATTTTTGAAATGTTTTTGCTTTGTTTTGTTTGCTTACCACATCAACAATGAAATTTTGACTTATAACTTTGTATAAATTATACAAATAGCTCTAATGATTTGTTTTTAATGTTAATGATCTAATTGACTGATAGAAAAAAGAAATTAAAATGAAAAAAGAACACCAAATATGAAGAATAGAGAATTTCTTTTCCTTGAATTTTAGCTACCAATTTCTGAAATCGTTTTGCATCAGTTTTTTTTAAATTAAGATATAGGAATCAACTGATCTAATAAATTATTATGAGTCTGTTAGTTTCGATCTTTCGTTAATGTTTTGTTTTGTTTAATGTTGATACTACCCGTGATTTGCAAAAAAAACTGACAGAAGCTGATCTTATTGTCTTGTTTTGTAGTTTGGCTGCACTATGCTGCTGTTGCCTACTCGATGCTTGCTTTTAAGTTCTGAAGAAACGTGGTCTGCGGTGACTGAATCAGAGCCATTATAGGAGGAACCATTAGGGTCTTGTCTTGTCTATCTGTTCTGTTAATTCAATTCTTGAATATTAACATTTGTTTAGGTTTTTATTTAGATATGTCCTCTGCGAGGATGTGAAAAATGACTTAGTAAAAATTCGTGGAGTGTCTATGAATTCTGTGTTTAAACTTGTTAATTCATGAATTGGGTTTTAAATTTTAATTTTGAAGTTAAATGATAAGTTTTTGCTTGATACCGAATTATATTGTAATTATTAATTACTAAAGTTTTAGTTGAAAGTTATATTTATATATAGTTGAACTGCCAACAACATAAACATGGATGAAAGACATCAAGTGCTCATTGTGTGATAAGAGAAGAAAGAGGAATAGAAGATTTTTTTTTTTTAGGCGCTGGGCCCTTTTTAGGCGCTCAGCCGTTTGGGTGCAGAGAGAAATATAAAGAAAAGCGCTCAGCCGTTTGATGTAGAATTCTCAACCAAAATGTTTTGCTGATATGAGGGGCTGAGCCGTTTTCCCCCTAGGAGGAAAATTTTAGCTAAAAATTAGACACTACAGCCAAACGGCTGAGCCATTTTTAACGGCTGAGCCGTTTTGTCAGTTTTGTAAACTTACTTGGAAGAAGCATATTTTGTTCTCCTTTCACGCTCCCACTTCCAGTTACCTTCAATAAACAAAATGGCTGGGTTGCCTCCCAATAAGCGCTTCTTTATTGTCATTAGCTTGACACTTCCTGTATGACCATCGATCCTTCAGATGAGTAATGATGGTGAGTCTTTCAACCTCGCCACCCAAATATTGTTTGAGCCTTTGATCATTTACTACCTAAGTCCTTCCAGTGGAAGGATCTTCAAGTTCAATAGCCCCATATGATTTGACTGACTTGTAAATATATAGGTGAGTCCACAAAACACAACAATACAAATATATCTATATATTATAAATATTCACAAACTAAATTATTTACAAAATTACAAAATCACAAGAACAAGAATTACTAAATAGCACCAAATCCCCGGCAACGGCGCCAGAAACTTGATGAAGATTTTCGCAATCTCTCCACTTGGCAAGCGGACCAAGTTTCGATGTAGTATTTAAGTATCGTCCTCAGGGATTTGAGAATTTAGTAATTCTTACTCTAATGATTAATATAGAGATGTTGATATGATTGGAAGTGAGCTAATGTGAGGCAAAATTAAAACGGTAATGTAAAAGTTATAAGAACAATTATATGAAACAAGGATTGGACCCTAGAGCACTTGCTAACTCCTAAATTTCCTTAAAATAAATATGATTTCATCTTCATGACTTCCACGTTCATTTAGTAATTCAACAAGATCCCTCAAAATTGAATCCTAAAGTAATTAATCTAAAACATGATTCCTCTATGTTTTATGATTAACACTTTGCATTAAGAGCAATGACTTGAACAAGGTGACTAAACAAATCAAGTCTATTCCTAGAGCAAGAGATGTTTAGGTGCAAGATTCAGTTCGGGTTTTCAAAAACGTTTTCCAACCGGATTCAAAAACCAAAAATCATACAACGGGTGATCAAGCCGATATAAGCATTAAGAGAAGAATCAAACACAAGTAATGAAAATGAAATGCATATATATATTTAAGAAGAAGAAGAGTTAGTAGTTACATCTAGACCAATCCTCAAAGATTTAGCCCCTCATGGCCATTTACAAGATCAAAGGAGTGGAAGAAGAAATTACAAAGGAAGAGATGAAGAAAAGGAGTTGATCCTCGTTCCCAAGTGATCCAGCCTCCAAATCTTCGTTCCCACTCTGTTCTTTCTTCCTC